GACATTTATAATATTATTTTACACTCTGTAGGTCTAAATATTAATCAGACATTTATAATATTATTTTACACTCTGTAGGTCTAAATATTATTCAGAGGACAAAGTAATATTTAATAGTTTGTGTTAAATTGTAACATTATTCAACAGAGCTAAACTCTGTATAAATGCTCCAAAAGCTAATATCTGCTAACCAGGTCAATAAATAACAGTGATTACATCGACTTTATAAGATTATTTTAATTTTAAACTGACTTGATCAAGTCTCTCTCTGCCTCTGGTGAGGAGGGGGGTGAAAAATCCTCCACCTCAGACGTTCAGAGATGTAACTATCTGCGTCGCTGTGGTCACTCTCCATGTAGCATCAATTATGCTAATGCTAGCTGTCACTTTCTCTCATCCTGGCCACACCTCAGTTCTCTAACCCCCCCACTTCCCCACCCACATCCCCTCCCCCGCCTACTTTGATGCATTTTTCAAATTTCGCCTTGGGGTGGAGTTACTGTATCTTTTCACAGGGGGGTAAAGATACACTTTAAAGGCAACACCTGTCAGTTGCATATTCCAATAGCTTTGCTCTCTTGACAAATGGGTGGATTTAAACAAAAGGGTAGTATGTTCTGAGTACATGTAAATACCAGGACATAAAAGCTGACACTCAAAACTCTTATCTCATGCATATCCTTTGATCTTAAACCCAAATGTCTTCAGTACACAACAGAAACAAGGGAATTTGACTTGCTGTTCTACTGTTGGAAGGGGTAAATAGATATATAGATCGATAGATAGAAGTGCCGTGAGTCATGTTATGTCCAACCCCTTAGGTTTTGTCAGGACTTGATATGAACAATGATCTTGAGAGCTGTTTTAATGCAGGCAGTCTCATCATCCTCTCTTGTTCTCTCAGATGGTCGCTCCCTCCTTCTGGCGCCTTGTTTGACTGACACCCCTGCTGCACAGGTCCTGGAGAGAGCTGTCCTTGAATCAAGGGTCCAAGAGGTGGAGGAGGAGAATCGGCAAATCCGACTGCAGCTCAGTCAGTCACTGGGCACTGCTGCTCAGCTGGCAGAAGGAAACTTTGGCAACCATCAATGGGGTGCGTCAGCAGACACTGTCCCAGATGATGGCGACAACACAGCAGAGGAGAAAAACAACCACACAGACTGTCCCCGCTCGCCCACAGTCCAGAAATGTGAGGTCAGGAAATACCCAACTGATACTTTAATTTAAAACCACCACCAAATTATTTTGACCAAAAAAATTATTCTTTCTAGATCATTAAATATCTGATTCGCCAGATAATTAAAGAAAAACCTTGCAGTCGATGTCAAGGCAAAGCCACACATTTTACATAAAAGAATATTGCATATTGTGAAAAATACTTCACTTATTATTAGGGGTGTAACAATTCATTCTAACAATGATTGGATTCATATTATGATTCTTGGGCGGCTGTGGCAGAGTGGTTAAGGGAGTTGTCCTGGAACCAGAAGATCACTGGTTCGAACCCCTGTTCCAGCTGTCTCGGTTGTTTTGTCCTTGGGCAAGACACTTAACCCTCTAAGGTATGGGGTCTAAATGGCTGTTTTTGACTAATTTTGAATTTACCCTAATATTTCCACCTTAAAAACTATTTACTTTGCCTTGTTTGGTATTATTATTTTCAGCACAGCCTCAGCTTTATGATTATACAGTGATTTCATTTTGACAAACTGCATTATCACAGTGAACTAAAAACAACACACAAAAAACAAAATCCGAGTAGGAAATTTTTTGGCTATTTTTAATATAAAATTCACAAAAACTCTTAAAGAACCACTTTTCTAACCTTAATGAATATCTGTAGTGTAAATTTCATAAACATGTGTACAAATTTAGCAAAAAACTAAATTATATCGATGTCTTTACATTAAATTGTGTGCAAATTTCCAGGCGTTTTTACAACAATTTACAAAATGTGTCACAATGACTCCTCCACAAATTCTCTCCATCCTTACAATGTCTCGTGTGTTTTTTTAATTTTACAACCATTTCAAAAATGTGTGACAACGACTCAATCATAAAATCTCTCCAACCTTATGTCTCGTGTTTTTGTTTTTACAACTGTTAGTCCTGAACTTTGGTAGTTGAACCATAGACGTATAGAGCAGGAGACCCAAAGATATACTGTAGAACTGCTCCATGTCTATTTGAGCCTATTTATATTTTTTCCACTAACTTGTTTTTTGCAGCATGTTTGTTGGTGTTATCACAGACGCTCTTGACTGGATCAGAAGCAAAAAACAACAAAAAAGTTTTTTGGACTGTAGGGGGACAGCAGACCTACCTGCACTCCATGGTCTCCTAGGTTGAAAATGGCTTACAACAGGGGCTTTCTGCTTTTCTTGGTGTTCTACTGTCCATCATGTTTCAGCTGCTGTCCCTGCTGCTACGGTCACCAGGGATCTGGTTCTGGATCTGGTCCTGGTCCGACTTCGTTGTGGTTTCTGTTTTGTGGGCCTGACAGAGTGGGTGGGCAACTCCTCCTCCTCCTCTTCGTTTTCCCCTGGAGATGAAACCAGCTTGTATAATGGGGTGCAGTTTGCCTCTGTTCCGATTATAATCTTTTACATATTCCATAACAAACAAACAAACAAACAAACAAACAAAGAACTAACCTGCAAGTCTTAATCCTCCACCGGCGTGCTGTCTTCCTCCTCTTCCTCCTCTTCTTCAAGCTGAAGCTCAGCACTCAGCTTCCTCCACCGTCAAACGACGACTCATTTTGACACACAGACTAAAGCTGAAAACATACTCCCTGCAAACTGCCAATGTCGGCARGGGTTGTCACAGTTTAATGATGAAAATTGCGTCACTGGGCTTCTCAGCGTCGTGTCGACAGCCCCTTTTGGCACAACCCGCTGGAAGAACTTTTGAGCCCCATCCGGTGTCCACGGTAATGTGTGACTGGTCTGAAGTTCGTGGACGTGTTTGTTTGTGCTGCGCTCGAGGGGGAAAAAAAGGAAAAATAATGACTCGCTCCCAGACTAGAAAGCAGAGTTTTATAAGATAGCCAAACCATGAAAAATTTATGGCTTGTTTGTGCTGAAAGCACTGCTGCACTTGGTTAAATAAAGGGGGAAAAAAACCCGACTCACTCCCAGAGCCGACACCAGGAAGTAGAGTTTTATAAAGATAGTCATACTGTGAAAACTCATGAATGGAGATAAAACAGACGTTGTGCACGGAGGAATCTGACTGATAAAAACTGTGGAGCTAAAACAGGACAGATGTAGATAAAAATGTCGGGTGAGTGACGAGTCTTTTTTTCTGCATTGTCGGCTGTTGTGGGGAGAAATTCCACGCAGTGACATATGGTTCAGCGGGAGGGGGTTTCCCGAGCTCGGTGCGGGGTGTCTCAGGGACTATGAAAGGTCTGTGCAAAAACGACTGCCGAACAACCACGTGACCACGCATCAACCCGTCAGCGTCGGAGCGAGTATGTTTCAGGCTTAACAACACTACTACAAACACTGCACACACACTCACACACTCTAACACGTCTGGTCTAAAAGCTAATTTGCTACTAGCTAAATCCAAAATGCTGAAATCAATCCGTCCTCGGCCTGGTCGTCTCCAAAACTTTGTGACCAGCCCAGAACCTAGTCTCTCTCCACAAGCCTACCAACAAACTGTTTTCATTGGTTGGTTTGGAAATGTGGTGTGTTTGAGGAAATGGGGAAAAATAGGTTTCATGGTGCATTCAAGCACTTTCTGGTCTCAAAACATTCTCTGAATGTGCACCAAATGCGTAAAAATGTGCACAACATTTTGGCTAAAATTATTTATCATTAAATCTGGTTTTATTTGGAAGTAAATAAAAATAAAACTAGATAAAAACATTGCTTTTATAAAGTTTGAAGTCCATGTGTGTCCCTACAGTGTATGAATGTGATTGGCACTGATTAGTCTCCATACATGATTGTACATGTTAGCTTTGTAGGAGATCTGGTAGAGTGCTCTGTGAATGGGTAAATGAGGACACAGATTGTAGTGTGAAACGCTTTGAGTATCCTGGTTGGGTAGAAAGGCGCTATACAGGTGCTGATCATAAAATTAGAATATCATGAAAAAGTAGATTTATTTCAGTAATTCCATTTAAAAAGTGAAACTTGTATATTATATTCATACATTACATACAAACTCATATATTTCAAATGTTTATTTCGTTTAATTTTGATGATTACAAATGACAATCTCAAATTCAGCATATCAGAAAATTAAAATCTTGTGAAAAGGTTCAAAAT